ACGCACTTAAATCAATTCTTTATAAATCGAAACCAAACTCCTTCTGCTGCTATCGGGATGTTGATTTAGCTGCGCCGCTCTGTTTTCTTTGGTTGCTGATAATCGCCGAAGATGAGATGCCCTCCTCCGAAGTTCAAAGATTCCAAAATAAAAACGAAAAGGGCGACGGGCGGCTGAGCACGTAGGCTGCTTTTCCACTTCTCCTGCTTCTCTGGTTCTGATTCTGATTCTTTTATGTTTATGTACAGCTGCTGTTTACTTTACTTTATTTAGTTTTACTTGTAACGTTATGTATTGTTTATCAGTCTGTTGATTTATCTCTTTTACTCTGGTTAAGCTATCCTTAGCTATAATTTCGCAAACTCTTCTCTGTTCTTCGCTGATTCAACTGCTGCTCTTGCATTCCAAGCCGTGCTGATCCTGTTTTATTAAAGAAAATGAGAAAAGCAAAGAAAACTATTGAGCAAATGATGGAATTCATTGGGATAGTGCCTGGAAATGTGGTAAAAATAATATCGCGGGTGTGTGTGGCTATACTTAAATCAAAAAGTGGTCGAAATAGTAACTAAAACGATTGTCTCAAATATTATAAATTGTTCGTTTATAAACAAATGGATCAGAATATTTTTATTAAAAATATATGTTTCCTTTTGATATAATATATCAGTATTTTCATAAAAGGGATTCGAAAAATTATCTGTATACTCATTTTCAAATATATGCTAAATAGGAAAGTATGTATTTTAAAAAATGAGTTGACAACTTCCATTTTATAATGAGTGTAGTTTCAAAATCATGAATACATTTGAAAAACAAATTATGCGATTGAAAAATTGCACCCCTGTTTATAGATACTTATAAAACGGTCTTTTGTAAGGGTTAAAAGTCATTTCTTAAAGAAACAAGAAACTGGATTGAGAAAGAATAGGTAAATTTATGCCCTCTGAATACATTCAGTATAGGAATACATTTTTACCTGAAACTCTTGAATAAAAAAAGTAACTGCATTTTGCCCAGACCGTTTCAATAGTAACTCAAAGTACATACATAAGTATGTAGTTCTATTATGCTGACCGCCTTTGTGTGTATAATAAGAAACGGGGAAACCCGAAAAGGGGGAATAAGACATATAACTATTCGATTTCCAGGTAGCAACAACCTGTAACGTAGTGCTAACTACGTAACGGCTGCATTATCGTGCCCGTTTGTACATATCTGTTTGTGTGTATGTAGTACATGTGTGCTATTTACGTCAACAAAAGGTGTTTGTTTGGCTATTCTCGCAAACAGTGGACGTCAGAGGGACGAATCCCATATACATACATTTGTACATATATTTTTTTGCGAGAATACCTGAATTAATGAATCAACACATACGCGCGCATACATACACACACACACACGGGCAGCGATAACCAACACAATTGCGACTTACTTTTTTGCCGTAGACCTTCTCACACCAACGAGTGTGCGTGTGTGTGTCGCAGTTTTCTCAGCCACTTCGTTATACAGATTCCGATTTTTCGACAAGCGTTATATACAAAATGGGTTGAGTTTGGGTTAAAAGTTGCCTTGATTTAGCTGGTTCACTTTAAAATGTTGCGGGAAATTGGTTTGTTTTGCGGTTTTAGCTGATTTTCGGACTCTAGATGGGGTTTTATTATGTGTGTATGTGTTCGCAGCTGTGTATATGTGTGTGTATTGTAAAATCACTTTCAAAATGGCGACGGGCTGGCTTCGTATTTATATATTTATATATAGATGTAATTCCGCTTAAAGCTTTCTCTTCACTTACAGACAAAGGCTCAAAAAAATCACACTTTCAACTGATTCTGATTCGGATTTAGTTAAACTCTTATGTACACCACCGTCTATTGCGCAGCGTTTATTTCGAATTTTATTTCCGTTATTTTCGCTCGCCAAGTACTCCGCTCTCGTGTGCTTTTCTGTAGCCTCACTCGTTGTACTTCGACGCGTATTAAAATATTAAACGTTACACAAATATTTGATTTATATCACTTAACTTAGGACATTTACAATATGCGTTACATATATATTTATTTTTGTAGCAGAAATTTTAATCGATATCTTTATCTTCTTCGCTTATTCTTGTTCTTTGCGCATCGGTACGCTTGCCTCGAATTTTCCACCATGACTCACACAAGCGCACGAATGCGCGGTCTTATATACGCCCGACGGAGTGTTGGCTACTTAGCTATTTTCTAGCTAGATCTGGCGTTGATTCTTGTTCCCATGGGGGTATATTTCGGCTATCAAAATTTGTGCTGTTTTCAAAGAGAAACCGGGGTACTTTTTTTAATATTCTGTATCCATACCACATTTTATTTTTGCATTATGATGTCAAACTAAAATTTTTTTTTTTTATTTTTAAGAACTTTGCAATATTTAATTAAATTTGTTTGTGTACCATCATGTTTTGTAGCTATATTTTTTATATACGCTAGTTTAGCTATTTATGATCTAAGGAATTGTCAGCACTGGGCAAGGTATACATTTTAGGTATCGATAATTTTTAGTCAACCCTGGGTTCGGGACTTCGCTAAACAGCTGAGACTTGAACCATACATTTACGCCCACGCAAAAAAATACCCACTACCTGCTATCGACTGTTACCTTCTAGAGTTGTCGCATCTGCTGTTTTGAAAATCCCAGAATCGCGGTAAATTTGAAACGAATAATAAAACGACAGCTGTGCCGCCGTACCTTTTGGAAACTAATTAGATCTAAATTGGTTTCACGGATATGATCCGTCAATACATTTAGAAGTCAAATGGTCTCTAATTAGTAGCAATAATAGTAAATAGTTATATTTTAACATTTTATTAAACCTACTTCAGATAGTAGGTGTTGATTATGATTACAGTTAATAAGTTGAACGCACACATTGATCTATTCAAAGCTCTATTGTAATAATGACGAAAAATAAGTAATTATAAGGAACAAACCATTAAGATAATCGTAAAATGAAAACATATTTGATTCGCAGATACATCACGTTCTCGTCAGAGGCACGTTTGCAATTTGAAATTGAGTCATTCAAACACGGAATTGGGCTAATTAAAGTTTGTCAACTTCCCCATTTTGGGCATAATATCTTAATTTTAATGGTTGACGTTTAAATTGGATTAAATGGCTTTGCAATTTTATTGTCGTAGGTTACAGTTGCATCACTGTTACACAATCTTCGGAACTCAGAAAAGTATAATATTTCAGGCTTTTAAAATGTTATAAAAGTTATACTTTAGAGAGGGGAACAAATACTATAATACTATAGATTTGTCAGGATGTCAGCATGGGATGCCCCCAAAGTGGATAAGCAAAACAAAATAATGAGAACCGCTTTCAACCGGCGACGCGTGTCACTCAAAACCCGCCCATGCTCAGATCCAGCCTGATCAAACCCATTATCTAGCCAAATTGCTGTCCGGCGGGGGCAGCATCATCATTATCATCTCGTTGACCCGCCATTGTTATCCCGCTGGCTTCGTACTCATATAAACAAGTGCACTTTATGTTTACTTGGCTGTTTTTAATACACATCAATCCGAATCCGCGATTGTGTGGGTTGAGGTGAGAGATACGATTCCTATCATATATATATTCTATAGGAATATTCTGTAGCTGTGTCTGTGCTGGATTTCTATTGTTCATGAGCCCGGCTTCGTATATAAGGTGATCAATCTCGTTGTCTAAAATTCAGTTCACTTCTAACGCGATTCGAAGCCGGTTTTTATTCCATTTGTGATTTCGTGGAAATTTCGTTTGTTATTCAAAATGCGTTTCGCTCTGTTTGCTTTTCTAGGTAAATACCCTTTAACGGTTTAGCACCCATATAAAGTACAAAAGGAAAAAGTATAGGGTTCGAAATTAAAAACAGTTAACGAGAGCTACTTAGAAAAAGTACAAATCCAGTTTAAAGATTTTACACTAAATCAAAATAATTTTCGTATTTACAAAAATTATTCTGTATACAAAAATACATTGCTCATCAGATATCCATTAAGACAAACAGCAAAATTAATGATCATACAGAATAATTTTAATTACTATAAATTCATTTAATTGCTTAAAAAATAAAAGGTTGTAATTTTCTTAGTCCTTTCATAAAAGTCGAAGTGAGCACTGTTTAAGTTCATTTTAAAGGGCAATTGAGAATACAATTAGGGTGTTCAATTGCGTTGCAAACTTTGTAAAGTGTAAAAGTGTTCCAACAACAATTTCTATACAAAATAGTTTTAAAGGCCTACCTTTGAAAATTTTTTTGTATAGATATTGTTGTTGGAACTGCCTTACATTTTTACACTTTACAACGTTTGCAACGTAATTGAACACCCTAAATATTTGGTTTAAAAGTGATCACAGTCAGCTGATATATTCACAATATTCAATAACCTAATTCAGCTCTGTGCCTGTTGGCATTCGTCGTGGCCACTCCGGCCAAGGACACCAAGAAGCCGGCAACCAACAGTTGCCAGCGAAACTGCGGCGAGGTCTACGAACCCGTTTGCGCCAAGGCCAAGAACAGCAGCAAGGAGCGGCTCATCACCTTCGGCAGCCCGTGCGTCATGTCCAACTACAACTGCCAGCACGCCGACGATCGTAAGGCATCTATATCTCTCTAATATAGAAAGTAATCCCATTCAATCCTTCCATTCACAGCATTCGAGCAGAAGTCCAAGGGCGAGTGCGGTGGCGGAGTGAGCGTGCGTCTGTCCTAAGCACCAAAAGCAGTCCAATATCAACTCTTATCTACAATTGAACATCTTTCACTAATGGTGCAATAAAATATTCATATACTTTTTATTCCAACGGGAACGTTTTATTTCTCTTCGAGGCAAGCTTACATCATTTTGCATAACAGAACAGAAAATTTAATAATTAGCTCACGGGATTGCGCGGAATTCCCCTTTAAAATACATACAAGATCAGTTCCAGCTATCCGTCAGTATCAATGAAAGTCATATCCTATAACCCTATTATTCTGCAGTTATCAGCAGTCACGCGGCCAATCTGTAAAAGAAATCAAAGCGTTAATCAGTTGGCACGAGCGGTTCAAGTGCAGCAGAAAGGGGTTACGATTAAATCTATATAGATAGACTAAGTTCATCTTAACCGCTCTCCACTGTACTCACACCAATTGACTCACCACTCACAGAGCTCTAGCGAATTATCGCATACTACGACCTAATGCCAAGTATCTATATAGTATATATGGTATTGTATTGTATTGTAGAGTACTTATAGTTGTTTTTTCTTTAGTAGTTGTTCAGAGATACGCTCCACTACATTCACAGATTCCGTTGCGCCCCCTAGACGGCCTCCTTCTTCTGCTGCTTGACCTTGTAGTCGGCCAAAGCGGCCTTGATGGCATCCTCGGCCAGCATGGAGCAGTGCAGCTTGACGGGCGGCAGGCGCAGCTCCTTGGCGATGTCCGTGTTCTTCAGCTTGCCGGCCTCGTCGATGGACTTTCCCTTCACCCACTCGGTGGCCAGGGAACTGCTGGCGATGGCCGAGCCGCAGCCGAAGGTCTTGAACTTGGCATCCACAATCTTGCCGTTCTCGTCCACCTTGATCTGCAGCTTCATCACATCGCCGCAGGCGGGGGCTCCAACCAATCCAGTGCCCACTGTGACGTCCTTCTTGTCCAGCGATCCCACGTTGCGCGGGTTTTCGTAGTGTTCAACGACCTGTGGAGGGAAATCGGTTAGTCACAGGGGGTTTATGCCATTGTCCTTATCAATTTGCGTGCCGCCTAAAACGCTGTTTATCAAAACGACAACAAAGTCGTCGCTTATCTACATTATATAGCTTCTAGATATTACGAAAGAGAACTTTCGGGGGGGTGTTTAAACATACATTTTCGTGATATAATGCCACCGGCACACTCTGCACACGCTTCAGCTGGGAACGCAGCAACCGGGAGGAGTTTCGCAGCAGGGACATCTTGAAATTAACTAGCAGTTGTCACTCAAATAAATCAATAAATAGACCAATTGTTGTGAAATTCGAAGAGAACGGAAAAAAACACGGCCAACTGCGTGTTACAAACAGCTGTTGGTTAGAGAGACCGTACTGGGGTAGCTGGGGAAAGGCAGCGAGTATCGGTATCGATAGGTTTATAAATATTTATTACTATCATTTATGGCCCTTCTTTTCAAAATTAAATATTTAAAATAGTTAATTATTTAGCATTGAAATAAAAAACAAGAGCTTACATAAATAAGTAAAGAATGAAATTAAATTTTGCTTGACACTTCAAGTTGGCAACGCCTTAGATTAGTAGGACCGTTTAGTCGGTATTTCCTTGACTCACACCCACGGTCGCACCCTAATCACCAAGTTAAATATTGTCCACTATTTCTCTGCCAACTTCCCATATTTTCACAGCAGCAGACTATGAGTTTCTGAAACGAATCCCCCAGGTCGATAATATCCACATCCAGTCATGACCTCACGCAAGCGAAGTGGCAGCGGCTCCACCAAGAGGCCCAAGGAGAAGGTTTGTGGGGAACTCCGCCCCTTGGTGATTCGTGATTTGCATGGCTAATTGGATTCCCGATTCCCCTGCAGGTGGTCTACATCTACGAGCTGCTGTGCCGCGGCGAGGATCCCAGCAGCGAGAGTCCCGAGTTCTGGAACGAGTTCTTCCTGCTGCAGCCGAATTTCGAGGCCCTGGAGAATGAGATCGGGAAGCTGAACAACGAGCAGCTGCAGCTGGTCAAACCGAATCTGAACACCCTCTTCCAGAGGTGCATCGAAATGCTGGACACGGGTAGACCTTTTAGAACTTGACATTCATTCCACAACCCATTTATATTCCTTGAAAACCCCCCCAGAAGATCATCCCAAGCGCCTGTGCAACAGCCTGCAAACGCTGTGCTCTTTGTTCTATGGCATCTTCAAGAAGTCCAACGCGGATCCCACGTTCAACATCCTCAACGAGATCTTTGGCCACGAGAAGATGGACGAGTGGCTGAAGCTACTCATGCAGTACTGCAATCGCATCCTGCTGGGCGATGTGCCCGAGAATGCCCGCTTCATGTGCCTCAAACTGCTGCAGGTTCTGGTCACGGGCACCGACAATGTCAACCAGAACGCCCTCTTCGAGCACCTGATGATGCACAGCATGTTCGACGCCTTCGTCCGCCTGCTGAGCGATCCCACGTTCCGCACCCAGCACGGCCACGATATCGTCATTCTGCTCACAATCCTGGTCAACTATCGCAAGCACGAGGCCACCAATCCCTACGTGGTGCAGCTCTCCATACTCGCCGATGAGCTGGCCCTGAATGGGTGAGTAAATCGGGCACCTATTCAAAACTAAGTAAACACCAGCTGCTGGCTGACGTCACCAAATAGATAATAGATAGTTTGCCACGCGCTCCTATAACTTATTTTATCTTCATTCCAGCTACGGCCAAATGATATCGCAGTCGCTGATTGACTTCTGCCGCCAGTACATCCAGAGCCTCAACAATGTGCAATCCTCCTCCTGGTTCTCGTCGCTGTCGAATATTGTGGGCAACATGTTTGTGTCGGATGAGGGATGCGAAAGGGTGCAGCAGATAAAGGCCAATAATGGCCTGCTACTGGCCCTCTATGAGGCAGTGCACCTGAACCGCAACTTCATCACCACCCTGGCTCACACGCAGGCGGAATCCAGTGCACCGCCGTCGCCCAGCAACACGCTGAGTTTGGCGCAACCCGTGCCGGATTTATCCAATGCACCCATCATCGATATTACCCAGTATCCCACCAATCTCCTGGTGGCCGTCTTTCAGTACTGCTCCATTGTGATGCAGGACAACAAGAACGAGTCGAGCATTGCCAATCTGAAGCTGTGCTTCCTCATCCTCACCTGCATTTCGGAGGATCAGTACGCCAACTCGATGATGCACGACAGCAACCTGACCTTCAAGGTGATGCTGCATCGGGCGCAGATGCGTCATCGCAAGCTGAACGTGGATCGGGTGGGCAAATCGCAGCCGCTGGCTGCCACTCTACTGGATCTCCTGGTGGAGTTTATTGTCTCGCACCTGATGAAGAAGTTTCCCATGGAGTTGTATTTGCTTTGCATTGGCGTCATCCATCGAATCCTGTGCTACCAGAAGAGATGTCGAGTACGCCTTAATTATCCGTGGAAGGAGCTCTGGTCGGCACTGATTGGCCTGCTGCGGTTCCTGGTCAACCAGGAGCAGACGCTGGTCAAGAAGTGCAACATATTCCACTTGTCGCTGCAGGTAGTGAACATATTTAATCTGTTCATCACGTACGGCGATACTTTCCTGGCCACCACAAATAGCTATGATGAGCTCTACTACGAGCTGAACCGCGAGGAGAAGGTATTTACAGAAATACATGCTATGGGTAAGGGCTTGAAGATCTTGAAAACTTGTTATAAAAATTAATTCAAACTCTTAACAGTTCTTCGCTACACAACGATGCCGGAGTGCGAGTACAAGGACGATGTAATCAAACTGTTGAACGCCCTGGTCAATATCCTGGCCATTGTGAAGCACTTCCAGAACAAGATCAAGGAATGGCTGGCAGAACAGGGCCTCTCTACGCCCACGGAGGAGCAAATACTCGATGTGGTGCGCAAGAACTACGACCTCACGCTGAAACTTCAAGACTCCCTGGATCAGTACGAGCGATATGCGGAAACGCCGCTCCACACCAACTTCTTTAAGCTTATGGTGCGCGATGTTGTCAACGATACGCGCAAGCACATCTACGGATATGTGAAGGAGGCCGTATCCGTCATCCCCGACCAGGAGGTACTCCTTACCACCTCCATCACCTCCGCTTCGGCGGCAACGGCCCCTGTGGCAGCTGCAACACCAGTGACAGAAGCAAAAGCCGCGCCTGCCACGTAGAAAATGGACCTCGACAGACTATCAGACTGTTTAATTGTTTCTTTTGCTTAGTTTTGTAATTATATTTTAAATAATCAAATCTCTAGAAGCGTAAACTCGATGTAATCGGTAAGATTTAAAGTACTTTGCGAGTCTTTGTTAGCTTTCGTTGTGAAGCAGTGCACTTAAAGCAAATACATATATTCTGTGCAAGTTTTTTACATACGTATACAAAATATATTGCGTGTATATAAAATAATGGTACTGTTGAATTATGATTTCGGTTAAAATACTGTACTTGATACATTCTTCTGTATACCATATTTTTTATCAGTTTTCTTTGGTACTTGTCCACACATTGCACATACATTAGTATATATTTAAAAAGGATCCGAATGACCTGCATAGGACGTAAAAAATCAACATATGCGAACCACTTTATGAGTATCCCGTTGAGGGAGGTAAGAGGTTTAGGATGTTCAGGTACCTACATTCATATAAGTATAGGAACGGTTTAAAAAAGGTCCTCAGTCTTCCCGAAGGTTTGGCAGTGGTTAAACGAAAGTAAATGTATCCTATTTTTTAAGTGAAAAATGGAAACCGTAATAACTTGTGATTTGTGCTTCAAGAACATTAAATTCGTGGAATTCGACACCCATTACGAAGGTTGTGTAAGCCATAACAATGCTTTTGAGATTATTATGGGAACATCCCAGGATCATAATCAGGCGGGCGATTCTGATGATACGACATGCGATTGCGATGAAATGCCTCTTTTGGAAATGGAGATGTGGCATTTAAAAACTGAAAAACACAGAGCATCCGTTGTTACTTATATAAAACAAAATAAATATATTGTACCAATTTCAATGGAGTCACATTTTCCCATAAAATCGTATCGAGTTTTCCCTAAAAAGAGAGAGATTGATATTCGCAAATTGATCCATCAATGCGAAGATGTTATGCTTAAAATTTTGCTTTACTGCCTGGGCGAATACAGAAGCATAAAGTTCTTTTTGAAGTTATGCAGAGTATATGTTAAGGATGGCAAAGGTGCTGAAAAATTGGAAACAAAGTATTTTGCTACACAATATGAGGCGGCATACGAAACCGATTCTCTCGTAAAACATTTTGCCGGTGCGTTGGACTACTTAGTTTCTTCAAACATTGAGTTCAAATATTCCAATACCTCCCAGGATTTGTCAATAAAAAGATTTGACTACTTTGAAATCACAGCAATAAAATTGGAACATACACCTGCAGCCGGGTTCATTCCAGCCCCTCCAAACATAAAAAATAGAAACGCAATAATAAATGTAACAAACAATGATGATTTCTGTTTCAAATGGAGTATTTTGGCATACATTGGATATATGAAATTTCAAAATACAACTTTTGAAAAGGGTTTGACAAAAAAACAAAGACGAACAAATTTAACCTTTCCTTCAAATTATATGATTCCGGATATTTCCCAGGATATAATTGTTTACGAAGGGTTTACACTCGATTTTTCCGAAATAGAGTTTCCAATAAACATAGATGGCATTAGACGGTTTGAAAGAAATAATGCGGACTTTAGCATTAATATTTATGAAGTTGATGATAATGGAAAGAACGTGATTGGGCCGACAATACGAACGAAGGAAATAAGATCCCGTCATATAAACTTGTTGGCATTAAATAACGAGAGTGAGCAAGTAATGCATTACGCATACATTACAAGCATGTCAAAACTATGTCACTCGCAATTTTCGAAATCAAATGTTTCTGCAATTTATTGTGAAAATTGTTTGCTGTTCTATCCTAAGAAAAGCAATAAGGTTCATGATTGTGGAAACGTAACTGAGGTTATATACCCCATGCCAGAATCCCAGCTATTTTTTAATTCCTTTTCAAAAAGCACCCCTCCGCCAGTTGTTGTTTATGCGGATATAGAGTCTTCCTTGGAATCGAAATCACCGGCAGCATGGGCTGCCTCTTTCTATGTTGTCCACCAATATAAACCAGATTTAAATAAAATGTACACATTTGATGGTAAATATTAACATAAAGGTAAAAACTATAATGTTTAGTAATCATATTTTTACAGGTCCACATTGCATAAAGAATTTCTGCGAAACATTAAAAGCTAAACTACGCGGCCTTTATTACAAATACTGGAAATATCCAAAGGAAAAATATTATCCGTTTGACAAATGTACGGAGGAGTCTGGAAATTGTTTTATCTGCAGAGAGGAAATCGGTACATCCTTCCCTGCTAAGTTTTACCTTCAATTTAGGGGAGATTATATAGGCCGTGTCCATGAGGCCTGCAAATCCAAGTACAAACTTCTGTATCCTTTTTTCCCAGTAGTTTTTAATCATTTAACGAGATTTGATATTAACTTATTATTAAGTGAGTTGGGAAGAGATGTAAAACTCATTCCTGGCAACCAAGAGTTGTATACGATGATCATTCAGCATTATGTGATCAACGCATTCGATCGGTTTCAAATTAAATTTCTAGATTCAAATAATTTCCTTCGTTATGACTTAAAAAAAGTTTTTAGTTACATTGACAGGGGAAAATTAATAAATCTGAGGGAGCAATATTCAGATCTTCAATTTGAGACAATGTGTCAGAGAAGGGTATTCCCCCAACACTATTTAGAAAGTATTGAACAACTCAACGAACCACAAATACCTCAAAAAGGATTCTTTTTGGATTCCCAAAATAATAAAGAAGATTATACACATGCTCATCAGGTATGGGACATCTTTGATTGCCAAAGTATTGGAGAATACTTAAAAGTATATTTGGAAAGGGATGTCATGATTTTGGCCGATGTATTTAATTACTTTAGGCGCCTTTGTATGAATGCATACAGCTTAGACCCACTTAATTATCCAACGAGTCCATCAATGTCATGGGATGCTATGTTATATATCACCGAGGTAAAATTAGATTTAATTAGTGATCCCGACATGCATCATTTTCTTAAATCAGCAGTGCGAGGGGGACTTGTTCAATGCAACCAAGAGACTGCGAAGGCAAATAATAAATTCATGGATAATTTCGATCCTAGAAAACCCACTACTTATTTGGCCAGCATTGAGGCAAATAATTTAAGTGACTGGGCGATGAGTCAGCCACTTCCATTTTCCAACTTTACTTTTTTAAGTGATGAAGAAATTAATATGTTCGAGATAAAACAAACATCTTCAGATGCCGATGTAGGATATATTTTAGAAGTAGACCTGGAGTATCCAAATCATCTTCATAAGATCCATTCTGGTATGCCTTTCTGCCCTGAAAATCAAATTCTTCCAGGAGGAGTTCATCATAAACTTACAGCTGATTTCAGTGACAAAAAAAATTATATTATTCACTTGCAACACCTGCAATTATGCTTACAAAACAGACTTGTCATAACGAAGATACACCGAGTAATGTCTTTTAATCAATCTCGCTGGCTAAAACCTTATATTGATTTAAATAGAGAAAAAGTTGAACTTTCAAAAAACGAATTTGAAAGGCAGTTCTTTAAGTCAATGAATAGTTTCATTGTCGGCAAATCATTGGAAAATGTAGAAAATTATTGTGATATTGCATTATTGACACATTATCAGTCCAAACAGAATTCTCCAGGATTTAGACAACGAGTTGCTAGAAATAATTTTCGAGGCATTGAGATATTCCCGAATAATTTAGCTGCAATTTACTCAGCAAAGCCTCAAATTACCAATGATAAACCATTGTATATTGGAGTCACCGTTTTAGAATTGTCGAAATGGTTTATGTATGAACATTATTATAATTTTCTTTCTGTTAAGAGTCCTTCCTCCAAAATAATATTTTTAAGTAATAACTCAATTGTTGTATTATTAAGAGAAAATTTTTATAAATTAATGGAAGAAAATCCACTGCGCTTTGATATGAATAATTATTATTTAAATGGGCATAATGATAATATAGATTTAATGCAAGACAAAAATGGCGGACAAGTAATGAAAGAATTTAAAGAAAAATACTTAGGTTAAGGAAGTAATATTACAGTATAGTTTTTAATTCATTATTAATTAGTTTCAAAATAATAAACAATTAAAAACATGTTACCACCTGAAATTAAGAATTTTCAATACTACCTTTATAAGGCCAATAAATGATTTGAACAATGTGATTATTATTGTTGCTTCTTTATTTATTCCCAAACTTTCCACGTGTGTATATTGTTTAATACAAAAATGCGTATAAATATTTGTATAGTATGCTTTTCTTTCTGGTTATACAGGCGCGTGTATAGGCTCTAGGATATCGCTACGATTTATAAATGTTTATGGTATATATAATAACTGTTGCATGCAATACTTGCACGCAATTAACAATTTGAATGCAATTGAAATGGATCATGGGTCGAAACAATATGCGAATATCTAATAAAATGTCGAATATATCATTTAAAATGCATTAAAATTAGGTATGTAAATAGATAAAATACATAGTAATTGGTTGCTTTAAAATATACAAAATAATTTGTTTATGAAACTAAATTCTAGTCGCTTTATACAAATATCCTTTGCATTCGATTGATTAATTTCTAGCTCGACATTGTGGTTCAAAGGCAGAGCCAAACGATCACTCAAAGGCACAATTAACAGACAATATTGAATTAAATTAATTATATTATAAGCAATGCCTATCTCTACCTCTACTCTGAGCTCATTTCGTTTGCCCTGGAATTGCGGCCTTAAGAATATCTATATTTTTAGATGGTATTATGGATCTATTTACAATTGCGTATTTCGTTCGGATGAATGGTAGTGCAGTGTAGTGTGAATCTTGGGGATTAGAAGTGATCCACCTTGACGGAGACCGTGTGGGCGGCGGCATTGCTGGGCAGGTCGATGTTGTCCCACTCGGTGTGCAGGTTCTTCTCGCTGTCGGTCGCCTTGAGGGCCAGTCCCAGTGACGCAGTTCGTCCGGCGCAGTGCGGTATGTTGAGTGTAACCGGCACGAGGAACTCAAGGCCCTGCGGCCCGCACATCACCAGCGGTGACAGCATTGTCTCACCTAAGAAGGCAAAATAATGCGATTAATTTAAAGAAATTTATGGGAGTTTTTCCAGGGACCGTAAATAATCGTTTTTTGAGATTATTACTTTAAAAAGCCTACTGAGATTTGTACAAGTTTTAATGCACTTTATATGCACTTTATTGACATGAACAAATAACAGTTAATTTGCTTTTCAGATTTGTTGACAATATTAAAAAGAACGTTATTTTTGACGTTTAAAACAAGCTATCACAGTAGTCTTTTTAAAATAAAAATCTGAAATAACGATTATTTACGGTCCCTGGTTTTTTCTTTATAAATGCAATTAGAGTTGTGTTTAATAGTGTAAAAGTGGTAAGTGTAAGTGGGCACAGGCATAGAGATCATTCGATTGGAAATAAGAAACTATAGAGAATTTCGGTAGGTTAAAATAAATAATTTCAGGTAAAAGGTAAGGAAAGTGTACAGAAAATATAGATGAAGGTTTTAAAAAAAATGTAGATGGAATTACATGCAAAAAGCCACAGCTACATGTTAGTATAACATTAAAACTACAACTAATGATTAAACTACAGCAAATAACCAGCCACCAACTATATAATAAATAGATTAAAAACAGAAAATAAACTAAATAATGCTGTAACAAAAAACAAAGTCAAAGACAGGGGTCATGTGTTCTTTTTTGGTTTTTAAAGGTTTGTGGTAGTGGCGGTGGTTTTTGGTGGATGGATACAATACGGAGTAGAGTGTGTTTAGGGGGACCAACCATTTTCCATGTCCAACGGAGGACCGCCGACGGCCTGTCCCATCCGGGGATCGCTCACGGTGAAGTAGATCTCCTGCCGAACTCCCGATGGAATGGCGCCGGGTGGGATTTGCAGGGAGACGTGCCAGAGTTTATCGGCCAGAGTGCCGCCGTTGGAGTCAAAGAATCCTCGCGAGGTGCTGGGCTCACGGGGCAACGCGGGAAAGGGTCCGGGTCCCGAAGGAGGAGTAGCAGCTGCGTTATTCACTGGCCCCGCGATGGGCAGTGACATGCTGCTGCTAAACGGCGTACTGGTGGCATTCGGAGGACCCACCGGCAGGCTGGCCTGCGATGTGTACTGCGTCTCGATGGAGGTGCAACTGTCGCCGATGGGCGAACTCGGCGGCGGAGCCGTTCGCTTCAGGATGTTGGAGATGTGGAAGGGAGCTCGGCCGGATCGAGGAGTCGGCGGTTGGACAGGCGCCGGCGGAGCTGCCAGCGGGGTAACCTGATCTTGTGCCTCGAAAACATCATCCGACTCGTTTTGAGTCTCACTGGCCAGCATTCCCTCGTTGTGCTGATTGTTCTCAATGGCCGTGGGCTGCTCCGTCTGGTCGGCAGAGCTCTCCTCCTCTTGATCATCATCCTCATCCACTTCATTCTGAACCAGAGGAGCCCTTGCCGGATTTTCTATCACCGTATCCGAAGATTTCTGTAAATCCGAACGACTTAGAGTTGAATCCTCTACCTGATCCTCCGGCTGAGCATTAATCTCCACTTGAATCTGCTCCGATTTGCCCTCCTTTTCCTTCTTCTCATCCGTTTCATTCTCACGCGACTGCAGGATGCTCTCTTCGCGGGTCTCATAGATGGGCGCCGGTCGGCCAGTGTCCCTCTTGGACACATAGATAGGCTCCGCCATGCTGTCCAGGGCCTCCCGCCTCGTCTGATAGATCTGTTCCCTCAGCTGGGCCTTCGCCTCCCGGCGACTCTGGTATATCGCCTCCGGATTGGAGGCCTCCGACTGGCTGCTGCTGCTCTGCGGGCTAAACTCCCGCTCCATGTCCCGCTTGCCCTGGCTAATCCTCTCCTGCATTTCGCGCTTCGACTGGTACAGATGGTTCCGCTGCATCTCCCGCTGCATTTCGCGACGTGACTGATAGAGCGGCTCCTCCTCGGTCTGCTCATTGGCGGCGCCAGGATAGAATCTCCGGCGGGTCATCACCTCGGAATTGGGTGCCCTCCGCTGATCGGGCAGCATGTAGGCTCCATTGCGCGTCTGATAGATCTCCTGGGGATCCTGCTCGTAGCCGGGACTACTACTGATCATGGGTCTCCTTCCGGGATATCCTCCTCGATCCGCTGTCGTGGTGCTGTGACGCCTCACGATTCTCCTACCATTCCTGCCGCCAGAGGCCGCTGCTGCCGCCGCCGCTTCTGCCTGCCTCCTCTCGAGATCGATGCAAGCGCGATTCGCATAGAGATCATACTGGTCATAGCCGTAGCCATTGTCCTGGTGATGCGGCGGCATCCGAGGAGCTGTGTTGGCAATGTTCCCATAGATATCCTCGCTCTCCAGGTTCTGGTAGGTGCTATTCATCATCTCCTGCTGCTGCTGCGCATAGTGACCATTACCCCGTTGATAGTAAGGATCCTGCGGATGAGGTGGATGACCATGGCCATGGGAACGCTCCTCAAAGCCAGCCGGATAGGTGGGATACTCATCCGGATAGTAGGGTCTCTGAACGCCGCGCTCCAACATCGATTGCTGGCGGCGCAGACCCTTGGGCTTCCTCTCCGGCTCCACCATACTGTTCATCCTCCTCAGTGGCCTCGTGCTCTTCAGCAGGGCATTCTTGAGGGCCACCAGCGGGCTCTTGAGCACCGATTTCTTCTTCTTGTGCGGCGGCAGTGGCGGTGGAGGCGCCATCTCCATGCCATGATCATCGTAATACAGCTGCTGCTGCTGGGGAGGAGGTGGCGGATACTGCTGACGAGGCTGACTATGACCCCTTGAGGTTCCATAGTGACCATAATAATGGGGATCCTGAGCGGCTGGAGGCCGCTCGTGGGGATAACGTGGAGCCGAGCGGGATCTCTGCATGTGATGCCCTTGCGATGGATGGGCGGCAGGTGGCGGCATGTTATAGTAATCATCGTAACGCTCGTCGTACGGCTCCATCTCGCTAAAGATTTATTACGTGATTCGGAATCGGAATTTTTGTGTGTAATTAGCAAGGGGTTTTTAATGGGTTCGATCAAGGGGACTGTGTGTAGTGTGTCAAAGCTCCGATCGTGAATTGGTTTTATGAAAAAAACCCAGACAGAATTGCTTGGTTTTTTAAGTGCCACAGAATTTAAAAAATATATTTTACAGCTTAATTGGATTGTTTTTTTAAGCTTTGTAGATAAGATATTAGATGCAATTCTGTGACACCAAATTTCTGCATTCGGAAAAAATGATATTCAAGAGCCAAAAGTTTAAATGTAACCTCGCTAAAAGGTTACTCATTTAAATGCTGAGGACAAAAATATTCAACAACCCTGACTAGTTCGCCTTTTTTATTCCTGCAAAACTTTCGCTAAAGACACACAAGAAGCGCATATGTAAAATATATCCATATATTTATATTAAATACTTTGCAAATTAACCAAAACTGTAGAGAAAAATAAGTACCAATTACCAGTTGTTTACACTTTAGTTAAAAGTAGTTCGTTGTTAGTTATTATTTTGTTTGTAAATAAACAAGTTGGATTTTTCCCAAAACCGTAGTTAGATTCAAGATTAACTTTCAAGTACCCGAGAGTTCTATTGAGAGTAGTTGTATTAAAACAATCAGCGAAAAGCATGATCATAATAAGTAGTAGTACGAGTTTGAGTTTAAGAATAGAGAAATGTGGATACGAATCTGTACTGTATACTGTATAGTAAATGGCAAGTAGAAGTTAACCCGAAAAATGTTTTATTTTCGTTATTATTTTTAATGTGCGTGATGCGCTCAACATTTTACAACCATCGATTTCGGTTTTCTATTGTTTTCTTTTTTATACAAATTTTGTTAAGCTTTAATTTATGGTTTGGTTAATAATTTTGGTTATTGCAAAATACAATAATTATTTGATTTATGTAATATATGCGAGCTGTTTTCGTTGTTGTGCGTTTTTCGTGAAATTTTTGCATCGAATATTTTGTAATGACCAGCAACCGTATGAAAGTATGAATAGATTGGCATAATGATTGATTGATTGACTGATTTTTTTGCTGACTGATTGACTGAATGTTTGATAGAGTACAAAAATGGCATTTAACAAGAATATAAAACATTTTTCGTTAACACAAATGTTGAAAATTCAGGGGGGATCAAAGAGATTTCTGTATGTTTTTCGTGTGTGTGTTTTATTATTAATATTTTTTCTTTGGGAAAGAAAGATAAACTCTTGAAGGAGCAATGGATTTATCAGAGGAATGGATAACTCAGGGGCTACGGGTATTCGAAATGAACTCACCTCATGTTGTGATGGTGCCCGGCGGCAGCTCCGATTTGCGGCTTACGATAAAGTTCAAAGGCCGAGCCACGTTGCTCCCTACTTCCGGCCAAATCCAGGGCATGTCGTTCGGGGGTGTGAGGTGGAAGGTTTCCTAGGGGTAAAATAGTTGTAGGTATTACAAAGGATCTCAAGAATTTATAGTTTTTTTTTTGCAGAAAATTAAGAGGCAGTTTTAGAAAGTAAACTTGGTATTCGAAAATATCTAGTGATTTTAAAATATTAGGTATGCTATGAATTTTTGAATTATTTTTTTAAAAAGCTTAATCTTGAAAAAAAAATTTCAAGATCGATGTTAACTTGATTTTGAGAACGTTTCTTCTTTAATAGGTGAGAAGACGAATTGCAATGAATTCGTATATTAATTTTTTAAGAAAGCTTAATCCTGAAAAAAAAACGTATCGCTTTTGTCTTGATTTCAAGAACGTTTCTCTCCAATAAGTGAATGGCAATGAATTTTTTTATCATTTCTTTTTTTAAAGAAAGGTTAATCCCGAAAAAAAACGTTAGATCGTATTTGTCTTCATGGCAATAAATTCTTTTGTTATTTTTTTTAAAGAAAAAAAACTTTAGATTGCTTTTGTTTTGATTTCAAGAACGTTTCTTCTTGAATCAAAGAGATAAATTTTCAAATTCGGAACATTTGATCTTGGCTTGTTGTTTCAGTTGTCAATTTTGCTGGGTGTACCCACCTATTGGCGGTGGCATGCCGCGATGTGGTGCAATGTAGGGACCTGTGCCACTGCCTCCGTTGTAGTGGTGACTGTTGCCATTGTAGCCGTTTGCCTGCGGATACGCTTGTGGCGGTGGTGCCTGTCCGTAGTTGCCGTTGCTGCCTCCATAAGTGGGTTGCTGCTGCTGCGGTGGCGGCGGTGGTTGCATGTGTCCATTGCTGGGAGAACCCGGAGTTGCCTGCTGGCCGTAGTGATGATGCGAGGGCGTTGGCGGATAATAGAAGCCATTGGGGGAACGTGGCGAGCCGGAGTCCTGAGAAAAGGTTTTCCAAAATAAGTTAAATGATCAAGAAAATTTAGTTTAAACTTACCCCATTCTCCCAAGGAGTAGTGCCTCCGCTACCGCTGCTGCCACCACTTTGCACCGGTGGCCTATAGTTTTTGGGTTTCGGCGGTGGCACCGGCTTGAAGGGTCCACTGCCATTGCTGCTGGGCGTTCCGCTGCCGTTCATCTGGTTCTGTCCATTGGGCACATTCGGAGGAGGAACCACTCCATGTGGCGCCGTCTTCGGCAGCTTTGTGTAATCCGCTTGAGTGACCGAGTTGTTGCGACTGATTCGTGTGGTTTTGGGATTGTGGATCGGGTGATATAGTTGCGTAATGGGTGATTTTTGGGTGTGTGTGGAAGATTTGTTTATTTTTTAGGGGACAAACAGTTGATGATGGCGAGCACAAAACATAAGCAAGAAAGAGAAAATAGTTTATGTAATTATAAGGACATGTGTGGTAACAGTATGAAAAATATTCAAAGTGTATTCAAAAGGCATTCAAAAGTCTGGGTCAATCAGGTGTGAATATTTTTTATTGCACTTTGGGACTGGGGGCTCTTAATTGAGTTGTATATTTACATACATAAATGGGACGTTTAGGGAGCAATACAAATTAAAGGATTTTGCAAGAGATAATTTAAGGTAATTTTGGGAAAATAAAATAATATTTTAAAAAGAGTTTTTAATTAAAGGGATTTTTTCTAGTGCATTTTCCCCTATCAAGAATCGTAGTTTATCTATAAAAGTTCGTTTTCGATTTCGATTTCGTTGCTTAGACGAGAGTGTCGTAGGCCGAGGCACTGGACATGAGAGCAGGTGGAGGCAGAGGTGCCATCAGGGCATGCAGACGTGGTGCGGCGATGGGGCGGCGATCGAAGGCGCCGGTGGAGAGGCGGAGCAGCTGTTGCTGGGTCAGCTGAAGGCCGCAGGACATGGGAAGAGGTGGCAGCTGAAGGGGCAAGGACGAGGGCGAGGGTGAGAGCGACAACGAGGACGAAGGCGAGAGCGAGTGCATCAAATGCAAGTGCTGCAAATGGGGCGCATGGAGATGATAGCGTCTAATGGACCAGGGACACACATACAGCGATTATCATATTTTTTACATATTCATATATTCAGAAAGATACAAGAGAATATTTACGACACAGTCGACAAATGCATGCGAGTGAGTTGACAAATAACGACGGCGCAGAAGAAAGAGAAAGTAAAGAGTAGTTTGTTTATATTTTTCACAGAGCCTCGCAATATGTACAATTTCTGGGGGATATACTAAATAATACATTTCGCTTAAAAGATCATACCTGTATTTGCCGTAATCCGTTTTTGTCTCCACCAAAGGCTTGCGAGGGCTGCTTTCTAGGCCCAGATTCGAGGGACGTTGTGGAGTGCCATTGCGTGGATCTGATTTATTATAATATTATTTTATTTGTAATTCCATATAATAGTTTTAAGAACTTACCAATATTACGGGACGCGTTCATCTCATGATAATGGGGTCTGCCTGGACTGCTCTGGCGGTTCAGATCGTTGGGTCCGCCAAAACTGCGATGATCGTGGGGTGTACGTCCGTAGTCGTGCGACTGACCCACCGGAGGCAAGGGGCGACCACTGGAATAATTTTAGAAATTTTATTTATAAATTATAAATAAAAACAAGAGAAACCGCTATAGTCGCGTTGGTGTCCCGACTATCTAATACCCGTCACTCAGCTAAAGGGAGTGCGAGGAAGAAAGATATATAAACAATTTTGATTGCGTATAACTTTTTAATGAATGGTCCGATTTAAAAAATGTCTTCTACATTTTGATAGGTATAAATATACACAACAAAATTGCATTTATACTTTTCGGAAATCTTTAAATGTGTGGGCGCCAGACACTTAAACTCGTTAGTGGGCGATTGTGGGCGTTAGAGGGGGCGTGGCGCTCTGCTGAAATAAACTTGCGCTGCGCAGGAAGCCCAAGAATATGTGTGGGAAATCTCAGCCCTCTAGCTTTTGTAGTTTCCGAGATCTAAGCGTTCATATAGGCGGATAGACGGACAGACGGACATGGCTATCAAGAATATATATACTTTGAATATGAATACAATAACCCTTTTACACTACGAGTAACGGGTATAATCATATATTGCTTATTCAACCAACTCACCTTGCATTTGGCACTGATTTGAGATCGTCGGGTGCATTGGGACCCAGTCGGCCCAGGTTCTGCATGGCCATTTGTGTATTGTTGTACGAATCGTAGCTGGACACACTGTCATACGTGGACGCACCTCCTCCAGTGCCTCCTCCGCCTCCGTTGGCCTTTAGTTGGGCATTCAAGCGGGCCTGACGCTCCAAGGAGGCATGCGTTTGCTGCTGCTGGCGATCCAGGGATTCGACTGCTCCCACGGAGCCAACGAGAGCATTTCGGGTAATGTACTCCGCCTGGACGTCGTCCTGAACCACAGCCTTGCCGAACAGACGCTCCTGGGCACTGCGACCCAGGGTTCCGTTTCGCGACGACGAGCCCGAGGTGTTCAGGGGCATATCCCCCGGCTTCGACTGACGATCGATGCGAGGCGGCAGATCGGGGGCATTGATCCCGTAGAGGGATTGTGGCCTCACCGCACTCGGATCTCCTCCTGCTCCTCCGCTGCCGGGCTGCTGCGGCTGCGGTGGCACATTGGTGCCGTAGATGCTGTACTTGCTGGAGTCCATCGTCTGGCGGCGATTGGGATTCGCGGGGACACCATGGTCGTAGGGTACCTGTGGCAGGTGCAGCATTGCAAGGGTTCGTGAGTGGGTGGCGAAATAGATTAGTTAATAGGTGGTTAAGGTCAACAAAAACCAGAGAATATTATTGGAAAATATTATTTCCCATAAATAAGATTTTGTTGACCTTTTCTTATTTTAATGCATTTTATTAGGGCGCTTGTAAACTCTTTGTTTGTTTTTAGTGGAAGCGCATGCCAAGTTTATTTCTTAGTTTGAGTTTGTTTTTTATTTTCTGTTTTATGTTTGTTTTCTCGACCTCTTACCGTATATGGAGGTGGTAGTCCTTCACCAATTATGTCTCTATCCCTATCCAAGTTATCCTGATTAGTGGCAATCGATGGATCTGAGCTCGCTTTAACCAACTGCGGCAAATTGCCAAGCGACAATGATGCGGATGGGCCGGGACTCAGTTCCAAATCGGATTCGGGACTTGATGCATACGAGAGTCGGGATGTGGTCATGGGGAATAGGAAATCGTCGGAGAGGGATTCTACGGGCTGGGGTTGGGCATTTTGTGGATTTTTTTTGGCAAGAGTTAATTGCATTTTAGCGGTTGTTTCGTTGATTTTTTCGGATGTCAAATTTAGCGCGTTGAGAGCAACCAACATTTGTTTCGATAATATAAATAAAACGCAAGAACAGCAACAAGAAACGTATATGAAACATTGAAAGTCGTGATTGATTGATTGGTCGATTGATTCGATTCGAGTCGATTGATTGAACGGCGTTCGATTGCGAAGCATTTGGATACGTAATGTGTGGACGAACACAAGATATTTGGTATTTTGAATATAGTTTTTGGTTTTTAGTTTTGGACGAGGACATTTTTGATTATTTTGGTGGTGTTTTGGTTTAATATATGCATCGGGTTTTACGGGTGATTAAGCGGGGAATGACCATGATGATGTATATTTGGTTTTTGTGGTTGTTTTTTTTTGGTATGTAAATAAAAGAAACAAATGAAACGAAAAACATTTAGTTAGCAACTTTATAAAAATATTGGCAAAAATTTGTATGGCGATTTTTGCGTATATACTTAAGCCTAAATATGTATGTCAAATAGGGTTTCCATTTTGGATATATGGAGGGTGAGAGTTGGAGTGGAGAAACTGTCATTCGCTGGGGGTTAAAAAGTGGAAATGTTTCGGAGTGTAAGAAATGCAAAGATTATACTTTCTTCTCCCCGCTGGAATGACAATTTTCTTTTCTAGGGTTACATATATGATATTCATGATCTCTCTACATGCTTTTAGCTTCACAATTACACACATTTATATGTACATATCTATCGAATAGCGGTCTACACACAATATTATTGTTCTTGATCATGCTACTTGAGGAGATTCGGGCCTTATGAATAATTTAGTACAAACAACTACATGCGATTTAGGGTAGGGTGGATAGAGAAGATTCAGTTGAAGAGTGCTGTGTCCCAACGCGAATGATAGATCTTCATTCTCTGGACCCCTTTCAACTAAATTAACACCGATTCTCATGCAATGCATTCGTTACTTTGGCCAACATTGTTGTTGGAATCAGCATTATTAACATGGCTAATATTGTTATTATTAATGTTGCTGTTGTTGCTGCTACAGTTATTATTATTGTTGTTTAGGCTACTTGAATTATTGAGACTGGCTATCTGATTGGTGAGATTATTAAAGGCCAGCGTGAAGCTGCCCTCATCCCCAGCCAAAGTGCCATCACTGCTCTCATGACCATTGCTCAACCCATTGCCACTGCCGTTGCCCAGAAGATTGCTCAGTGATCCCGAGGAGGAGGAGTATTGGCTTCTCCCCTGACCATTGCCAATGAATCGCTGCTGTGGCTTGGCCATCGGTGCCTTTTGCTGCTGCTGCTGCTGTTCCGTCTGCAGATTACTATTCTTGTTCTTGGCCTGATTATCCGGCAGGAGATTCAGACTGGAATCGAAGAGATTCTTCTGCAGCAGCAGCTCGTGGTAGTAGTAGGGCGTGGTCCTACGCTCCACCTGGGCATTGGTTCGCAATCCATAGCGGCTGACCGGAGCAGCTGGTCCGGGTTGAAAGCCCCTCGAGTTCGAGTTGAGGAAACTCTGGCTCATGAGATTCGGCTGGGAGCTGTGGTACTGGGAATTCGACGTTGAGCCATCCATGGCCAGGATACCATCTTCTAAAGGCATTATGGGAGCAGGATCTGCGGGCGGTGCCAGGCCACTGGGCATCGAGGAAGCGGGCTTTATCAGCGGCACCATCATATAGGAGGATCTCCGATCCCGGGGCTTTTCGCCCAAACTCTGGCTGTGGGCATAGCCAACGGGCGGTGGACGTGGCGGCGGCGGGCTATTCGAATAGGGTTTACTCGGATTCTGGTTGAGATTGAGATTCTGCGAGTAGCGTGGCACTGAGGTCGATGAAATGGGGCGGCAGCAGGCCAACTTGCAGGGTTGGGCGATGTAGGGTGGGAATAACATTTCGTTGGGGGAATCGGGGAACTATGTTAATGATTTTTTTTTATTTTTACGATTTGTTCACAACAATCATGGGCATGTTTGTATATGTGTGTTTGTGTGTTTTAAAAAACGAATAAGAAAAAGTTTCGAAAGTATAAATTAGAATATTGACCATAACCATTTGTAGAAATTATATAGTTAAAAAGGTTTTAAAATTAGTTCAAGATAAATAGGTATTAATTAAGTTGGGAATTACTAGGTTGGGATATCATCGGTGTAACTAAAATTGTACTAAATTATTAACTTTAATACAACATTCGTTTTTCTGTCGTCTAAATTTCAGTTATTGATAAGGTGTGTTTCAAAATTATACGACACCAACACACTTATTTTTGGAAATTTTTTAGCGTTGTTGTTGTCTATAGAAAGCGAAACATTTAAATGCAGATCGAAAGAACAATGTATGATGTGTACGAAAAAAAATACCACGCGTCCTTCATCCTCTTTTTAAGGATTTACCGCTAATTTTTCGAAATATAGTCTATTTTTCGGCTATGTGCGATCGTTTCATAATTATACGACACCATCGATTTTTTCCGGTTCCAATGATCAAACTTGACCGAAATTTTTTTCTGGTTAAATATAAACCAAAAGGTTCCATTTTGAGAGTAATCCAGCCCAAAGGTCCTTTCAATCTTCAACCAATACATAAATATTGAATATGTCTCTCTACACCTTAAAAAAGTAGTTTTTCGAAGTCATATCCCACAATTCGTCTTAACTTTTGTCTGGTCAATATTCTTAGCACTTTTGAATCAAATAAAAATCCTTTTCAGTTCATTACATGCACGAAACAGACCTCAAAAATCTTTTTTTAAAGGATTGCCCTTTTGGAACCAAACTGTTTTATTCCAAAAATATTTGATTTTGGGCGATACTTTCTGTCAGAATGCAAAAATTTGTTCTTCAAAACCTTAATAAACTTTCCACATTTCACGATTGGAACATTTTAAATGCGATCACCAGTCTGCGCCACTTTGAAGTTTTTTCGAAATTTTTTCATACGAATTTGAGTGTTTTCTCCATGGGATTTCATTCGGGGGGCGCAGACTGGTGATCGCATTTAAAATGTTCCAATCGTGAAATGTGGAAAGTTTATTAAGGTTTTGAAGAACAAATTTTTGCATTCTGACAGAAAGTATCGCCCAAAATCAAATATTTTTGGAATAAAACAGTTTGGTTCCAAAAGGGCAATCCTTTAAAAAAAGATTTTTGAGGTCTGTTTCGTGCATGTAATGAACTGAAAAGGATTTTTATTTGATTCAAAAGTGCTAAGAATATTGACCAGACAAAAGTTAAGACGAATTGTGGGATATGACTTCGAAAAACTACTTTTTTAAGGTGTAGAGAGACATATTCAATATTTATGTATTGGTTGAAGATTGAAAGGACCTTTGGGCTGGATTACTCTCAAAATGGAACCTTTTGGTTTATATTTAACCAGAAAAAAATTTCGGTTAAGTTTGATCATTGGAACCGGAAAAAATCGATGGTGTCGTATAATTATGAAACGATCGCACATAGCCGAAAAATAGACTATATTTCGAAAAATTAGCGGTAAATCCTTAAAAAGAGGATGAAGGACGCGTGGTATTTTTTTTCGTACACATCATACATTGTTCTTTCGATCTGCATTTAAATGTTTCGCTTTCTATAGACAACAACAACGCTAAAAAATTTCCAAAAATAAGTGTGTTGGTGTCGTATAATTTTGAAACACACCTTAGTTAAGAGTTTGGTGTATATGCTAATTGACCTCTAAATGTGCTAAGTAATGTTTTTTGTATTACTGGGAGGAAAAATTAAAGTCAAACTGGTTTTCCAATTAAAACGCATTCTCGCAAGTTACAGAACTGAAATTCTTTTGGTAAATATATCATCGTTTTCGTGAGTTACTTTGGGTTACTTAACTAATTAGAGCTTTAGGTGTAGAGAAATTTCTAAGAGATTTTTAACTGAAGGAGCAATTTTGAATTAGGGCCGTTTTCTTGTCCGTTAGTTAAATTTAAAGTAGGGTTAAAACCTTGAAATCTTATGGGAAATCATTGTTAACCCTACTTTAAATTTAAAAAACGGACGAGTTTAAAAGGTTAATCTCCTCTTTACTTTAAATCGTGTATGGTATATCTCCTAATAGTAGATAGGCATCTAGTATCTACTATTCTATATAGTATGAAACTATAGTTTTTAATATTGTTTCAGAAACTATACTTTCCCATCACCTTTTTGGGCAGTTAAGACATCGTCAAGTTAGATATTACAAAGTTTGAATTAGACTTAGGGACTAACTACATTGGACAATACGCAGACAACAACTAGGATGGACCTAAATTGTATACAAAGAGAGATCCAAAGACTCACCTTGGACTCGGACATCCAGACGGCGCCGCTCTGCTGCAGATCGATCGAATCGCGCAACTTTCGGTACCAGGACTCCTCGTCGCTCAACGCGATCTGGGTGCTGAAGATGTGCGACCAGACGCGCTCCAGTTTCTGGCACTGCTCCAGCAGCTTCTTGGAGCTCTTGTGGGCCGCCTTGGGGAGTCCGTGGCGCAGCTGCTTAATCACGTGCTTGCTGTCCGTCTTCAGGAAGATGACCACCGGATAGAACTGGGCGTAGTTCAGCCGATCCACCGCATTGGGTGTGATATCGAGGAGGGCATGCTTTCCGCGATCCATCACATCGCGAATATTCGATAGTCGTACGATGCGGCACTTTCCACTAGTTCCCGCCGACTTGTCGTCTTCATTTTGGAGAGGAGTGGAAAACTTGTCGGGGAAATCCTTGGCCAAGCGTTCGCGGGCCAGGTCGGAAACGGGTCCAAAGAGCACCACAGGTCGCACGAAGCCAGGATGGCGCAGGACGACACGCTCGTAGGCGGGGAATTTGGAGATGCTGTCGGAGAAGACCACATCGTCCCAGTTCTCGCGGGAGAGGCTCTTCGAGCGACGATGCGTTGAGCTGTAGGTTAAGAAATAAAGGTTATTATAGGGACCCAACCCATTTATAGTACGGTTGTTAAAAAATCGATAGTGTACATTATCGATGTTTTTGGCTATCGATGGTGATCACCATCGATACTATCGATAGTATCGAAAATTAAAGAAAATAAAAAACAAATTGCAAAAAATCCAGGATAATTTTGAAAAAAAATTATTGAAAATCGATGGTGGCCACTATTTAAACAAATTCCAAAAATCCAGGATAATTATAAAAAAATTTTTCAATTCTAACTTGTACAGTGATTAAAGTGAAACCAAAATCGAATACCGTCGTTAAAATGTTTTTATACCCGTTACTCGTAGAGTAAAAGGGTATATTGTATTCGTGCAAAAGTATGTAACAGGTAGAAGGAAGCGTTTCCGACCCCATAAAGTATATATATTCTTGATCAGGATCACTAGCCGAGTCGATCTAGCCATGTCCGTCTGTCCGTCTGTCCGTCTGTCTGTCTGTCCGTCTGTCCGTATGAACGCTGAGATCTCGGAAACTATAAAAGCTAGAAGATTGACATTTTGCATGCAGATTCTAGGAGTTCCTACGCAGCGCAAGTTTGTTTCAAAAGGGTGCCACGCCCCCTCTAACGCCCACAATCGCATATATACGATTTTAAAAATTTCAATATTTTGGAAAAGTAAAAATGCAGTTTTATTGTGTTTATCAATACCTATCGAAATGTAGAAGAAATTTTTTAAATCGGACCATTCGTTAAAAAGTTACGGCGGATCAAAGTTTTTCTCCATCTCTTTCGCACTCCCTTTAGCTGAGTAACGGGTATCTGATAGTCGGGGCACCCGACTATAGCGTTCTCTCTTGTTTTTCTTCTTAAAATATACCAAAAGTTGCATGTAAAATTACAATATTTTTTTTGAGCGATAGAATCGATTGTGGGTTCAAACCATAGATGTTTCCTAAATATTAAAACCATCGATAGTATCGATTTTTTTACCAACCCTTATTTAAAGGTCCTTCAAACTCACCGTCGTCGCCTGAAGAAGTTGCCCCTCGATTCGTTGGCATTCATCTCCTTCTTGGTGGCATTAAACTGGGCCGTGGCCAGTTCCTCGGCCCGCGACTTGTTCGGTATCACGCCACGCTGCATCTCCTGGTGACCCCGACCGATCTTCAGCACCTGCCAGGAGCCCACCACACCATTGTGCAGCGTATCGATCACCCGAAAGACATCGCCCGCCTTGAAGGCCATCTCGCCCTTGGAGGGATTGTCGCAATGGAAGTGCGTCTTGATGTGGAAGGAGTCGCCGCGCTGGTTGGTCACCACCTCGTCGTACTCCTCCTTGCAGTACTGCACAATCAGATCGATGCGATCCTGCAGGCTGAGCAGGAAGAGCACGGCCTCCTCGCGCGTCACTCCGTTCATGTCCATGTCGTTGACCTTGAGGATCTTGTCGCCGGGCATCAGGCCCTGCAGCGATGCCGGTGATCCTGGCTGTACGGCAGTCACAAAGATGCCGGCCTCATTGCCGCCGGTCAAGCGGATGCCCACGCTTCCCTCCTTCTGGAAGGAAATGAATCGCGGCTCGGCGCTCTGTCGCTCCTCGTACAGTTGCCTCCGCGAGCTGTAGAAATCCTCCTGGGCCGCTCCGCCACTAGTTCCTCGCGGCGGCGGTGGACGCGGCGGCTCATCGATGCCACCGCCGGCACTTCTGCCCCTTGTCGGGGTCACCGGTCTGTCCAGCTGCTGCAGCGATACCCCATCCATTATGGGTCCCCGCGAGCGACCGCGCGGCGTGAGATTGCTCTTCTCCTCGTTCAAACCATTGCCATTCATGGTCGGCGGACCATTTGAGGTGCGCGTAGGCGGCTGGACGTAGAGATTCTGCGAGGAGTAACTGGCTCCGCCCGGCAGATAGGGATCCTCCAGGTTGTTGTTGCTGCTGCTGCATCCGGAAACCTGAGGCTGATGACTGGCGTATATATTTCCCGCCGCCGCCTGATGGCTCACCGATGAGTTGTTCAGATTCAGTTGACTAACAGCTGCTTGGTTGGTGATGTCCCGCAGGACGACCAGATTCAATCGCTCCTTGCAGCCATCGATGATCTTTTTGGCCTCCTTCAAGCTCATCGTATCGCCGCAATTGGTGTTGTGGATGCGGGTGATGATGTCGCCCTCCTGCAGACTATAACCATTGGCATTCAGCTGCTCGCGTGCCTTGGAGGAGATCTCCTTGACGAAGAGCCTGCAGCCCAGAACCACTCCGTAGTCATCCTTCTTGCCGCCCTTCGTTAGAGTCACCTTGATGGGCTGCCCACCGCTGGCATTCTGCACCAGCGAGGAGTTCAGCGAGTTGGGTTGACTGAGGCTCGTCAGCGGGGTGGGCGCACCCACCACTCCTCCACCTCCATTGGCCACCAGACCCACCGAACTGAGGCTATGCGAATGCTGATGCTGCACTGCTCCGCCGCCGGGATTAATGGGATTCAGGGGCACGCGCCGCTTGACCACCAGTTGCACCGTGTTGCCACTATCCCGCAACACCTGCACCGCCGTCGCATACTCCACGTTCTCCAGGCTGACGCCGTTCACCGATATTATCCGATCGTTGACTCTGCAAGAGAGGAAGGGGCATATAGTACTGGGTAATATGGATCTTGGTAATTGTCGGGTAGCTCGTAAACCCTGCCCTAATGGCCGAATCGTGACCAAAGTAGAGAACCTGAAGTTTCTGCTTTTATGCAGGTCATTAGAAACGACCTTGTCCAGTTTTACGCAGTCATTAGACCTGCAGCCATAATTAAGGAAAACATTTTAGGAGAGTTGCAACTTGGAAATACCCAGGAAATATATTATTTAAAGGTCACTTAAGTTTTCATATCAGCTATAAAGCACTATCATTTTGACCTAAATAAGATAATAAGAAATTAAATAAATAAGATTATCGCATACGACCCTCAAAATCAATGCCATACAGGGTATCTAAAACAGTAGCACACTGGAAATTCAAAATGTTTCGGACCATTGAGTGCAATGCGATCGGGCAGGTACAGATCAGACTTCCCCCAGAAACTCGAAGTGAAATCAGGTTAGACTTGGATTGAAGACATACGCTAATAAACAGGCAATTGTCTGAGCTCTTCAGCATGACTAGACTGGAAGTAATAGAGCCGAGAATCGAGTGTCGAGAATCGAGTGTCGAGAATCGAGAGCCAAGAATAGAGGCGTCTGCTAAGCGGCTTCCGTGGATTTCCAAAGAATATCGCATGGTCTGTTTGTACAGACCTGAACAATTACGGTCCGTTCTTGGAACGGAACACAAAAGTGGTGGAATGAAAAGTAAAAATGTAATAGTAAATAGCACATGACGAATTAACGACAAGAATGTTATACTTTTGGATACAGATACATTAAGTGTATGTTTTGCGCTCGTCGCGGCAGACAAAGTGGTTAATGATAGAAATTATATTGCATGTCTGAGGCGAAACATATCCATAATTAAGTTGTCTACGAGTGCAGAAAGAAGCGGCAGCCGAGTTTTACTTTCGGTCCGTCGATGGAACCATTGAGTCTGGTGGTCGGAGCGGCTTAACAATTAAGCCGGCCAAAAATGCGGAAAATGCGGCTTGGAGCGGTATGAGTTGGGTTGGGAAAACCAACTTATGTACTCAGAAAAAAATCTTATGTAATTTAGGTGCCTTGTAAAAATAATATAAGAAAAACTTTGCTTTAAAAAGGAAGTAAAATTATTTATATTATAAATGTATAGGTAATATAAAGAAATTGAAGGGATAATTTTTGTTAAATCGGTAACAATCCGTTTACTCAAGCATTGCTATATAAAATATATTGTCCTAAGTAAAGCCAATTTATGAAATATGCTGTATTTATTTTATAAAGAATTTAAATAAAGATTTTTTGGAAAAAGAGTTTAAAGATTTTCAGACATTATGCACGTATGTATCAGCTTTTTAATGAATCTTCTTTCTAAAATATGTTTTCCTAATTGAATCAAATTTTTCTTTGTGTATACCAGCTACTAAGCTGCATAACAGTGAAACTTTGCCCATAATGAACCCACATGCTCTCAGCCAGCTTGCAGAGACATGTGCTGGGCTGCAGCTAATTTCCACTTGTCTCCGCACACTTGGCAAACATTTTTCCAGCCTCGGCAGCGGGATTTTCCTTTTGAAATCCCCCGCGCAGACGACTCGGCTCAGGTAAGGGAAGACGTGAAAATAGTTCCCTGCATGTCTGGGCCAGGGTAAATAGTTTCTTGGGAAAAAAGATTATGACAAGTTTGTAATCACTGGGGTCTGGCCAAGGGCCTTTGCCTTTGGCCGCTCGCCGTCTATTGAAAAACGCTTCGGAATTTTTATTATCGACCAGAGAAACAGCTTCGGAGGCAGCGAGTTGAAGCTGTCAAGGCGTTGGTTTAATTATATCTTTTTTTTGGGCCCGGCTACGTGAGTTTTAGGTATTGAAGTGTGCGCATTTCGGGTTTTATTTTCAAAGGAGTGGGGATAAAAAGAGGAAAAAAGAGTTCTAAGCCCAAGATTAACGATGTCAATTGTCAGCGGCATGTGGGGAATTTATAATGCCCGTTTTGGAGGAGGGAACTACTAGTACTGCTGAGTCTGCACTTTATTTGATCAGCCTGCATGGGGGCCCATTCAGCATGTCGGACATATCCCGAACAACAATTAATTTCCTGCCAGATAATAATTCAAAATGCATTGAGACGGGCCTACTTCCTAAGGGGTCAGTTACTTCTGTTGAGTCATCTCGACAGTCGGGTGTTTGATACTTACTGCAATCGATCCTCGGCGGGGCCACCTTTCAGCACATCGCTAACTGCTATCGAGGGATCGCCGTTGGCGAAGTGCGGATTATCACGTCCACCGGAAACGGCGATGCCGAATCCATAGCCCGGCACCCGAGTCACCGCCACTGTGTGGTATTCCCAGGTGGTTCGATCACCCTGAAAAATATAAAAATTATATGTTAGAAAGTCTCAAAAATCATTACAATCATATAAAAAACTTAAGAATATAATATTATCACATTTTCTGTTATAAAACCCACTATAACATTTTGGTTTAATTCCTAGAATCTAGTTAAAAGTTCCTAATTAAAAATTTTGTGACTAAAAAATATATAATTGATATCTTAGAAAGTTTTAAAATTAATTACACTCATAAAGAAAATTTAAAAAAAATATGTAGTGCTATTATTACATTTTCTGTTATAAAACCCACTTATTCCTAAAATCTAGTTAAAAGTCTCAAATAGACAAATTTCGTGAGTGAAAACTTTTTCCTCCGCTGTCTTTTTCAATTTATTTCAATATAATTTAATTGGAATTTGTTAAGGACGGCTGCCAGGCGGAAATGCACATGTGACTTCCGTTTTTCCATTACTTTTTTTTTACATACTCGTTGTTATACGGCGACTTGTTGCCCAGGCCCTAGAACGACCCATGAACGCTCAGCCATTTGGACACGATTCAATTTTATGCACTAGAGGTTCCAGCAGAAATGCGTTTGCGTAGAAGGGGTAGTGGTTAGTTGTAGAATGAATAATAATAAAAATAATGGAGGAAACAGGAGTTGTTGGGTGTGTGTGCACCCGCTGTGACTGAATGGAAATCTGTCGACTTTTTCATTTCTGTTGTTTTTGTGACTGAGCCACCTGACACAAAGCGGAACTAAATAAAGCTGAAAACGATTTGTTTACGTTTGAATTCTTTTTGGAAATGGTATGAATGAAGTGGAATCTAAATACATAAACCTGGGGATGTAAATCATTTTGTTCGGCACAAAGGAGGTCGAGTTATAAAAGAGAAGAGATCTTTACGATGAACTAGAAATGTGAGATAAATGTATGTAAATTCACTTTTTAATGTCAGCAAAAGAAATTTCATTCACTTCTCGAATTTTCTGTTTTAATTATGAATAATGACTAAAGAGAACCTTCTCATATCATTAAAGTTTTATTACATTTTTCCCAAAGCTTTTTGCTTGTGTATTAAGATTACAAGGGAACTATATAAACTCATTAAAACTTGTTTAGCTGGGCAAAACAATTACATTTAGTTTGCGTTCAACAACTCAATTAAATTAATGATTTCTATCGGCTGCACGCATTTCCTCACCCAATTTACCACCTGCAATCACAAAATCATTTTAGTTTGCCTTCATTTACCCTCACAGCAGGTGATGGGCGGCACCCAAAGCCCAATTCGACACACTACCCCCATATGGGCAAACTCAATTGAGAGATCCAACTCAATCATTACACAAATCCAATATACAATGGAGATAAATCAATTAAAATCAAATCCCATCAAGCTCTTTCCCAATCCCGCTTGCATTCAATTCACCGTGATTCACTCGACAAAAACTCCACCGAAAACGATTCCGATTCCGAAACTGCAATCAATTTCGAATCTGTCGCTCGGCGAGCCAGCCAATCCCCTAAAAAACAAAACCAAAATTAAAGCGAAATTTTCATGCCTGTCTCAGGTGGGCGCCACAAAAAATTAAAACAAAATTTTAACAGACAGACGCAACACGACGCATCCACTTACAAAAACTCGGAATAACATTCCACGCGTGGGCTGGTATAAATAATAAACAAAATTAACTAACAAAAATACAAATTTGTGCAGTCGCGTGGGCCAGTCTAAAGTTAATAAATATTTATAAAGCCTGAAGTCTGCTGCAGGTGTATAAAACCTACTATATATATATATGAATTTGCATCAGACTGACTCCACATCTGCCCAGAAATCTTCGGATATGCTTGGCTTGCATTGAATAAAAATAAAACCGAGGGAGGCGAAAACATGAAAGAAGATTTATGAAAACGTTGCTGGATTTTTGACCGAGTTTGTGCATTTTGATGGGGGCGGTAAAATTATAATTAACTTAATTGCTAGTGAAATTAGTTGGAAATTTAATGGTGTGCAGCCAAAGGAAGGCGTGCGCTAAAGACTTTCTTTATATAGCAGATATAGCCCATAATTAATCTTGTCATATGTGCGCCGCCAAGGAAGTTTTCCCGATTCTAGTAGCATGCTAATAACCTTCATCTGCTGAAGCTCGGGCATTCGTCAGATTGTTTATCTAGTCGTTTCTGGGACCACACCCTTCGCCTAGGTCATAATTTAAGTTCCAGCAGCTTGATTTATGACCCAGTTACTACAAACTCTTAATGACTTTAATTATATGGAAACTAAGATGTTTGCCTCCGTTTTTTGTTTTTTTTTGCTTACCACCAACATGTTGTTTGGAACATAATCCGGAAACTTCATTGTGTTTGCTTTATGATTTGGTTTCGTTTGCCGCAAATAGAAATGTCTCTCAAACAATGCACTTTGAGCGAATCAAAGCAATTAATTTGATTATTCAATTGGTTTCGTTTGACATGTTTATAGAGAGTGTAATCTCACTTGCTTGCTTTGCGATATGAATGCACGTAATTTGGGAACTTAAAGCACAAACACACACATATAATTTTTAAAAACAAATGGGAATAAGCAAGGGGCAAAAAATAAATAAAATGCAAAAATCGAGGAATTTCGCGATAATAAAGTTTCGAAGCTGATGTCACTTTTAATTGTTGTTAACACACACAATTTGCCTATTCATCTGTGGAAAATCCCACAAATTGAGGTAATGATTTATAAATAAACTTTTTCTTATTTGCTGCAACTTCACGGCGTTTAGAGTTCGGTTTCGATTTCAGTATCGATCGCGATTCTTTTCGATTTTATTAAAAGTCGATTTGCATATGCTAATGGCTGACTGGTGGGCAAGAAATATCTGAACGAATCGTCATCGCAGATACTTTACACTCCCATAAAGTTTCGGTGCGAATTAGCATGTTATATGCACCAATACTACGCGGATAGCAAAAGTATCTCATAGATACACCGAATAATCTCTCTCTTTATAGAGACATTTGCATCGTGCAAAAGGTTTCTTGCCGCCAAGAGCCAAAAGCCAATGACCAGCCAACTTTGCGTTGCAAATTTGGAGCGGCGTGCAACAATCGCTTGCTTTTGTTGGATGTGGATTTGGATTTGGATGTGGATGCACCGAAAGTGAAATGTTCACAGCTGCGCTCCGCTGAGCATTACGGGTTGCATTTTTGACTTGGATTGCGGATTGCATGGGGCTACGATTTCTGTTTGCCGGTTGTTAGAAAACCCTAGCGATTCCCTGTTGCTACATGGGTTTTCTTTTAGGATTTCGAATTTATTAATATACTTCTTTTTTTTGACATCATTTATTCAGCATGAAATTTAAAATATCTTCAAGATAACACTTGATTCAGCTGGGCCAACTTATTAGCATTAACGCTTTCGTAATAAACAAACACAACAACACACACAGCTTGAAGAAGGAGGGTGCAGATAGGCAGATATATAGATAGGTATTCGTATCTCTCGGATACGTCGCGCCGTCGCAGTTGTCCGCTGGCGGCAACCGTTGACGTTGACGGCTTGAAACACGCTTCGAAACTGTTTTTACCTACGATGTGGAAGGCAAACTACAGCCAGCAGTCAGCAGTCAACGCGATCCAACGAATGAAGGCGCAGCGCAAAACAAACACGAGAATAAATACCCGCTGGTATCCGTGAGATACAAACGTATCGGTGTGTGGATGGTGTTGCTTGTTGGCATGGGTTCCACTTTTGAATTGAAAGGCCGGAAAGGCGAACACGAAAATGTAAACAAACCGAGCAAGAGAGCCAGGCAAATAGAAAATATTTGATAAAATTGTGTATGAAAGAGATTTTCGGATTGGAGTTTCGTTTCACAAAGTGCGGGTCGGGTTTTTATGGGGTTTCTGTGTGTGTGTTTTTGGGTGTGGATCGCATCTGTGGAACTAAAAACGGAGCTATCAAGAAGGGACTATGAAAGAAAATGATCCGGTTTAATGTCTGCAACTTCTGATGAGGATCAAAGGAGATGTGCCACATCAAACAAAGAGAGGAATTTCATCATGAATTGAAAGCAAATGGGGAGAAAGATGGAATATCTCTCAAGGCACAGGGAAACCATATTTATATCTTTGAATATTTTAGTAAAATTATAAATGTTTTTGTGCATTAATCATAAAGAAACCGCATCTAACACTTCCTCAATCGCTGCAATAAATCTCCATCTATTCAAAGATTTTTTCCATTTCTTTTTCGTCACTTGAGATGTGCTGAAAAGTTGAAAAGTTCAGCACTTGAGAAAGGCAACTTCAGTTCAATTAACCCCTCTCCCGTATCTGCCCATCTCCGAACCAATCCGAGATCATGTGCAGCCGGTCAACAATGGCATATTAATTCAATCAAGAGATCGCTTATTAAACGTTTAAACGTTTAAAGTGACAAACATGAGACCCCGAAGCAAAAGAGCCACGGAGATCACTCCATTACGCTCGACTACTGAAGTCGAGAGTGACACAAGAATATTCCGTGAATTAAATTCTACACATTAAAGTGCAAGCGAGGCAGAAATTGCTGCATTCATGAATTTTAAAGACAGCAAAAGCCAAGAGGCAGCTTTAAAGAGGGTTCCATATATGCAGATAAGCATTTGCACAGTGGAACTTGGTCAAGGGAAACCAAGGGAATGATTTATTAAAAAATATGTTATGGAGATACATAATGTATTTTTAAGACCTCTTGAAATATATGTAATCTTATTCTTTGGTTGATATTCTATAAAATTAATTATTTAAAATTTCTGCCTAGTTAATGTTATGGATGCTGTACTGTACGTAGTTATTCATATATGTAGATATATAGCAAAGTAATCCACCATCCAGACTGTCAGCAACTGAGACTGCAACTGACAGCAGCATCCCCCCGAATCCCCGCCTCCAGAATCGCGCATATTTATGCAAAATTAAAAGCAAATCAACAAGGCAGTACGATTTCCATTTGCAAGCTCCATCAGCATAGTTTTCCCCTTGTCCTCT